AAAACATACCTATTTTGCAGTGACAGTCCCAGAAATTTCGGACTGGGTGGGGGGAAGGCGAAAATTTTTTCAAATGAAGGTGCGTGGCATTAGCCACGCACTCCGAAAAAACTTTGAAAAAGTTTTTTTACAAAGCTAATTTTTTGAGAATTTTAAAAATTATTTCAATTATTTACAAGAATAAACAAGTCACTTGCACATTTTTATAATCCATGTAAGTAAACTTCAAAAAGTTCGCGACCCATTCCCCCCCCCTCCCCTCGATCCGCCACTGCTATTTTGTGCTTACAATATGAATTTTCGAAAAATTTAGCACCTATAAGTAATTTGCGGAAGGTACAGTCTGTTTCTGCAAGCGCAAAATTTCCGAGCTTTTCTTTAAGGCATTGTCCAGGTCAACTGAGAGGTGGTAGGATTTTGACGCAGTGCGGGATCACGGCTCCTGACTAATGTAACAGCTCAAGTCCGATTAAAAAAGTGGATTCTGAAGCAAAAAAATCGCTCTGGAAAATAGGGGCGTTCCGCCAATTCCGCCTCCTTGACAAGTTTTGACGCAGTTAATACATTAGATCCACAGCATTCGCCACGTCAAAACTTGTCAAGGAGGCGGGATTTGCGGACCGCCCCTTTTTTCCGAAGCGGCTCGCTTCAGAACCCATTTTTTTAAATCGAACTTAAGCTGTCACATTAGTCAGAGGCCGGCTTCCGCGCGGCGTCAAAATTTCACCATCCCCAAATTGACCTGGACAATGCCTTTGAGCATGCAAGTCCATTCGAGACGCAGGCAACATAGTTGTTGAAGATGGAATTTTCGCTTTTTCAAATTTTTCGGTTTTTAGTTGAATTCTTTGTCGAACTTTTCAAAAACTGAGAATATAATGATACAGCTGTGACCGTGGAATTTGCCCAAAATTGCGGGATTTGCGGGATTCGCGGGATTTGCGGGACTTGCGGGATTTAGCTATAACTTCTTTTAAATTTACTTTATTTGCAATCTACGTGTAGATTTGGCTTCAGCTTGATGAGACGAATCGTTTGATATCTAGTATGCCCGTAATTCGTGGTGAGGGGGTAGACTTACAATGATACCTTGTTGTTCTCTATGTTAAGGCTTTTGCGAACATTTATCACAGCGTAAATCACGAATAGCAGGTTCTGGTACGAAGTTTTCATTATCGAAAACTATCGCGAAAAATTGGGCAGTTTTTATTCACCCTTATCACTGATATAAGCATTTTATCATTTATCACTGATAATATCACATTTTTGGATCATTTTTTGCATATGGTAAGGAAAGTACTGTAGGAAAAGCTGTGTGAATTTCTATCGCTCTTTCTCTCATTATAAGTGATCTACAGGCTTTTCTAGTTCTATTGCTCGGTGCAATTGGTAGATCCCTCGCTGCAGCAATCGATCGATTTTTCATCGGCACATGCCATTGCTGCCAATTCTTACCCAGAATGGCATTCTCATTATAAGCAGGGCACGGCACAGGTGGCTTGGCAAGCAAGCTGGATATCGTTTTGGAGAAAAAGCAAAGGGGATATCTTCACTCTGTTGTGCCGTACAGGTTTGTTATGGTGGCAGATTTATTGATACTGGCCTAACGTTTCGACGTTTTCGTCGTCCTCAGAGGCCTGAAAACGACTCAAGGCATCATCCGTAATACCAGACCATGATACCGTAATACCATACGGATGATGCCTTGAGTCGTTTTCAGGCCTCTGAGGACGACGAAAACGTCGAAACGTTAGGCCAGTATCAATAAATCTGCCACCATAACAAACCTGTACGGCACAACAGAGTGAAGATTATAAGCAATGCCCAGGTTTAAAGAAAACGGAACATGGAAATTATTGAAAGGGGATATCGTTTTTGCGGTAGAGCATAACGTTGTCTTTCGGTCTGCGGCCGGCACGCTGCCGGCATGCCGCTAGCAAATAAACAAAAGGTTTGTTTACAGCGAAGTGAAGATGAAATGACGCCAAAATAGGTGTGTAGATGGGCAATGGGGAGTTAGGACTAAGTATGAAAAATTATGAAAAAATTATGTGAACTAAAGACGTGCTCAACTTTTTTCGGAGTTAGGTGGCTTTCAAGCCACCTGGATAGCCACCTGAGGTGGCTTAGGAAAGAAAAAGTCATAAATTTTTCCTCCCTCACATAATTTTTCTACTTTCTTTACATACTTTTCATCTACATCCCAAACCCTACAAACTAGTTCCCAAACCGCCTTAAACCCCCTTCTCCCCGCTTAGTTATAGCCCCTTGAAAATTTCAAATGGCCGCGGAAAGGCTGCTCTAGGCGCGTATTGCTGCACGATGGATACATCATGCCGCCATTCCGGAGAATACGAATATCATCGCGTGTGTTCGATGATTCTTTTTCGTTTTTTTCTCTGCTGTTGCTTTGTTCCTTTCCTTTTCATGTATTTTCTCTTCGAATATCTCGTGGCGGATGTCGTAACTTTATTGAAGTCAAAGGAGACTTAATTTTTTGCAATTTCGGGACGCCACCTCGTGCCGAGTCCTGTCTAGGGTCAAAGGGGACTTCGTAAAAATTTGCAAAAGTCAAGGGGGACTTCGTTTTTTGCATTTTCAACTAGCCACCTCGTGCCGAGTCTTGGTCTAGGGTCAAAGGGGACTTCGTAAAAATTTGCAAAAGTCTAGGGGGACTTCGTTTTTTGCATTTTCAACTAGCCACCTCGTGCCGAGCTCTGATTATAAGTGATCTACAAGCTTTTCTAGTTCTATTGCTCGGTGCAATTGGTAGATCCTAGATATGGTTGTTCTAGTTATTCGATAAATCATTCGAATAATTATTCGAAATTCGACTTCTAATGTTCGAATATATTCGATATTCATTCATTTGATATTTTTGATTTTCCGACTTTATTCGGAATTCATTCATTCGAGAATTTTTAAACTTCGAATTCATTCGATATTCGTTTATTCGAGATTTTTTTTCGAATTTATTCGATATTCGTTTATTCGAAAATTTTCGTTTTCGAATTTATTCGATACTAGCTGGCTTACCCGGCTCCGCCGTATCCGGACCAAACTTGGCACACATACACTTCGGGCCCCGGCGGGTGTCACAGTCCACTTTTCGTTATCGATCGATGTCGATTTTACCGATTTTTATCGATTTTTTGGCAGAGTTCACCTTCAGGGCTAGGAGTTGGCACAGGGGGGAAGTGAGCATGGGGATTCCGAATACAATATTAGTTTTCAGAATTATCGATTGCTTTTATTGATTTTATCGATTTTTTGGCAGAGTTCACCTACAGGGCTAGGAGTTGGCACAGGGGGGAAGTGAGCATGGGGATTCCGAATACCATATTAGTTTTCAGGATCGTCCATTACTTTTATCGATTTTATCGATCTTTTTGCAAAGTTTGACCTGCGGGGCTGGGAGTTTGCACAGAGGGTAATCGAGCATGCAGATTACGAATACAATATTAGTTTTCAAGATCGTCCATTACTTTTATCGATTTTATCGATTTTTTGAAAATTTGAGCTAGGGGGTGGAATTTGGCACAGGGGTGTTCGAGCATGCTGATCACCCCCCTTGGGGATGATCAGCATGCTCGATTACCCCCCTGTGCCAACTCCCAGCCCCGTAGGTGAACTCAGCAAAAAAATCGATAATCGATAAAATCGATATCGATCGATGACGAAAAGTAGCCTATGACACCCGCCGGGGCCCGTAGTGTATGTGTGCCAAGTTTGGTCCGGATCGGTTCAGAAATGGAATTTTCTATTCGGAACATACGTACACACAGACAGACAGACAGACATACAGACAGACAAACAGACATTCAGCTTTATATATAAGATTCATTCATTCGATGAAAAATTTTCGAATTACCCAAGTATACTGTATATCATAAGATTCGCCTTGACGAGCTGAATACAACGTTGTTTTCGGATTTTGAATATACTCATTCGGAAAGAAGTTATGGCCCTGCGTAATTTGCGTGATTCACATGAATTTCGCGGAATTCCCGGAAATTTTGCATGTTCTGTGAGTGGTTTTGTACTATAAGAGATAGAGCGATAAAAACTCACACAGCGTTTTCTAAAGTACATTTCTTATTGTATATCAAAAATGATCCAATTTTATGTCGTCAGTGATAAATGATAAAATGATGATATCAATAACAACGACAGATAAGAATGGCTTAAATTAATGCGGCCGATTTCCACGTTCATTTTCCATATAGGTGCAGAATTTCAGCCCAGGCTTCGGCGTGAAGCGAGTTGAAGCAAAAATGCCATTCTAGGTAAGAATTGGCAGCAATGGCATGTGCCGATGAAAAATCGATCGATTGCTGCAGCGAGGGATCTACCAATTGCACCGAGCAATAGAACTAGAAAAGCCTGTAGATCACTTACAATGAGAGAAAGAGCGATAGAAATTCACACAGCTTTTCCTACAGTACTTTCCTTACCATATGCAAAAAATGATCCAAAAATGTGATATTATCAGTGATAAATGATAAAATGCTTATATCAGTGATAAGGGTGAATAAAAACTGCCCAATTTTTCGCGATAGTTTTCGATAATGAAAACTTCGTACCAGAACCTGCTATTCGTGATTTACGCTGTGATAAATGTTCGCAAAAGCCTTAACATAGAGAACAACAAGGTATCATTGTAAGTCTACCCCCTCACCACGAATTACGGGCATACTAGATATCAAACGATTCGTCTCATCAAGCTGAAGCCAAATCTACACGTAGATTGCAAATAAAGTAAATTTAAAAGAAGTTATAGCTAAATCCCGCAAGTCCCGCAAATCCCGCGAATCCCGCAAATCCCGCAATTTTGGACAAATTCCACGGCCACAACTGTAGTAGTTCGGTAGAGCAAACTTAGAGCTTCCGAATGCAAGCAAGCACTGTGCACAATGCTTTATAAAATACTGAGAACAAGTTGAAACAAAAAATGCGAACGAATTTACTACACAACCTAATATATAGTCAAAAGTCAAAATCGTCGCTCAAGTTTAGCTGTGCCACATTTTCCTACCGAACGCCAGTCTGCTTCCTCCACTTGAAAATACTTTCGTACGTACTTTGTTCCTGAAAGTGTGTTTGTACAAGTAATTTCGCAGTTTTCAGCAGGTTTGAAAGCGACATGGTTCCAATAATCTCATAGATGCTTTGCAAAGTTTGCACTAGAAAAGAATTGGAGTTTTCACAGTCAAAGCGACACCTGACATAAACTTAACTGCTGACTCGCGTTCAAATTCCTGCCTTCAAACTTCTTCTGCACTGATCTTATGAGCTTGAAATAGAGTAACGACATTCGCATGAACGGGAGTCCGTATGTAATGTTGCAGATTTCTACAAATTCGAACATGCAGGCTTAATTCCGGAAATCATCATGCGAGAAATGAAACAAGCATTAGAGTTTTTTTCTGATTCTGGCCGAATTCCTCACATGAGTCACGTGGCAACCCACCTACAATACAGGGTGTCCTAAAAAATGTACCTACTGTTTGATCGCTAATAACTCTCTTGTAATGAAGTATTTCGTGAAGCTTTAGGTACCATTTTTAGAGTGCCTTCGACTTAGATTTACAGTATAAAACGAATCACTCACCTTTCTCCGTTACTGTAGGATTACGGTAGAAACCTGAAACCTATGGTGTCAGTGTGAAAAAAGCTGCCGTTTCAAAAATTTTCAAAAAATGTGAAAACTTGTGTAATAGGGTTTTTATAGACGCTGAGTTCATTACTCAACCATTCATAAGATTGCGAGGCTTTCTAAACAGTGTAACGGCACTTTTTAAGAGTACTAGCCGCTGTACCCGGCTTTGGCGGGCTGTTATAGGTTGATTCCAAGATTCTAATCATTTGTGAAATTTACATACATGGCATTTTAAGTGGTATATCCAATATTTTAATCCAAAAATCAAAGCGTGTATTCAAAATTCTAATCCAAAAATTAAAGCGTTAGCTGAATTGTCTTGTTTCTGCACTTGGAAGCCTTTCAAAAGTATCGCTTTGACAGTTTTTATAGGGTAAATTTCACAAAAAGTGAACTAAATATGGCTCCGCGCTCTCATGAAGCTGGATGCAATTCCATAGCGAGATGTCATCAAGAACTTACTTCAAAGCTTGGTAATCAGTTAGCTATACCGCGCTGTACTTGTTAGAACTTAGAATGAGTTTCTCTGCTATTGTTTACACCAAAATGTGCTTGAGGTATGATAATGGTTGTTAAGACTTCACTTTTATTACAAAGTGCCGAAATCAATAAATCAATAGAAGGATCCAGCGAATCGCTTCAAAAAGTAGCCTATAACCATCTACGGGTTCGAAAACATATATGTGCAAAATTTCAGCTCAATCGGTTCACGCGCAAAGGAGTCTATAAAAAACATACGGTCAAGAGTTGCACAAACTTTGACTTTTATATATATAGATTGAAAAAAAGGCCGTTTACCTCGCATAACTCTTCAATGAAGCATCATAATAAGTTGGAAGCTTTACAATTAGAATCATCAACTCTAATTGGCCTGGTGTAAAAGTTTCAAGCTGTTTTGTTTTCCTGAGGCAAAATATGGCCTTGACTCAAAATCCTCTTTAAAGTCTCTACCGTAATCCCAGTAATAGAGAAAGGTAGGTAATTCGTTTTGTACTGTAAATCTAAGTCGATGCTAGCAAAATGATACCTAAAACCCTTTGAAAGACTTCATTACAGAGTTATTAACAATCAAACAGTAGGCACATTTTTGAGACACCCTGTATAAGGTGTTTCAACTATTACTATGTAGTGATAGGAACTTTAGAAAGTTAGTACCTAAAACTACTTCGAGATTGCATACCATTATCGTTAAACTGTGAAACATATGTTTAGAAACAAAGAAGAAGCAAAATGCGACTTTGCGAAAAAGTGAGTATTATGTGCAAATCTTTTCTTTGTATTAATGCTTCTACTTTATATGGAGTTTACAAAGATAGCGTAAAATAATTTTGAAGATAGAAAGTTGTGCGCAGGCGCGTGATTAAGTCTATGTCGGGTGCGCTCTACCTACAAAAACTCAAAGCGCTTACTTGCTAAGCATCTGTAAAATAAATAAAACCATTTCACTTCCAGAGCTGCTGAAAAACTGAAAAACAACCACCTACATAGTAACGGCAGTTCTAGAATGGACCCATAGTTTTGAACAGCACTGTACAACTGCAATTCCCTTCCAGGCCAGACCTTTCAGAGCACGAAGGAGAAGATATCAGTCGAAAGGAAGGTAATTTAAGATCTACCACAAAATTTGGTTGGCAGAACAAACGTATTATCCGATACCTTATTCGCAGTTCAAAGAAGAGAGTAAGAGGAAAGTTTTAACACCTCTAACCATCTCATTTGATGTTCTACGCTAGTTCTTAGCGAGTCAAAAATGTTGTGGCCGATTGGATACTATGAAGAAAATAGTTTTCTGATATTGATTCGTGAGGTTCGTAAAAAGACAATTTGGTTCGTATTTCCACCACACCCTTTGAAAAGCTTTAGAAAATCCTAGGAAACTGAGTGATGAAATCAGCGAGTAAAATTTCTGATACGCCACTTTTCAGAATTTTTGGATTTTATTTTGAGAATTTTTGGATTTTTTTTTGAATTGCGACTGATCCATAGTGACGCTGTAAGCCAAAAGCCAAAGCTTCCATAATCCTACAGTATCGAAGAGCGATCGGTGTTCGCTGCATACTGTTAATCTAAGTTGAAGCTAGCTCTAAAAATGATTCTTTAAGGTAGGTGAAAGACTCTTTGGGAATAGAGACATTAACTATGTGCTAAACAGTGTGCATACATACCTTTGGGACATTAGAATGTGGGAGTACTAATAAAGACGATCAATCAGTTATCTTCGTTCACTACTGTAGCCTAGTGTAAGAGTTTCTAAATTGTTTGTGTTATGTACCAGAGCGGATGTAGAAAAGCCTTTATCCGAGAGAGAGCAAGCCACAAGACTGAGAAGTGTATAATTGTCACAATTATATATAGTTGACTTGTTGACATAAACAAATGGGATATCGTGTCACATCATCAAGCACATCATTCCTCAACAGTTTGGCCTTTCTAAGGCGAAATAGGGTTCTGAATGGCTCAAAACCCTTCTTGAAGTTCCTACCGTAATTCTACACTAGTGAACGAAGATAATTGATTCGCTCCATACTGTAAATCTGAGTTGAAGACTGCTCTACAAAACGGTACCTAAAGGCTGGCAAAAGACTTTTAGGGAGAGATATCAATGATCAAACGGTGTATACACACTTTTGGGACACTCTGTATGTTGAAGATCTTATTGTTAGCAGCATGGATATACTCTGGTCATTAAGCGGTCAACGAATGTCCGTTTGAATTGGTGGAGCATTGTTTTGAACTAGATTATGGATTCGAGCCATGCGAACACGGCCCAGTAAAAAAAAACGCAAGTGAAAGTTGAAAAAGCAAGTGAATAAAGAGGCAGTCGTGACCTTCGATCCCGCCTTGATGACGCCAGGCGGATATGGTGTATATGTATGGTAACTTCTGTATGGTAACTCAAAAGATAAATATCTTGAGATTAGAACACAGCGATCTGTAGCACGGAGCAAGCACCTCTTTGAGTGCTGGGTTCGTTTTTTTTAATCAGACTCGTCAATGCCTAATAACCTCAAGAAATCGCATTTCAAAAGCTTTTCTCTAGACAAGGCATTAGAATCAGGTAGTTTTTGCATTCAACGTGCAGTAGGGGACAGAAAAGGAGTTATAAAAATGCATGTTCACATTTGTTGGAGCTGTGGATTCAATACAGTAGGGGTTGAACCTTTCTGTACATCCATAGCAACGCTTCCAAACCCAGAATTCATTAGGCAAAAGCTTAGTCTCAAGATGTATTATTTGGAAGGCAAGTACTAAATCGGCAGCAATTATTCGGTAAATAGGCTGTGGAGTAAGCGGTCCAACCTACTTCTGTAGGAGGGGAGGGCAGCTGGGTGATTGTCATTCGGGAAAAGTCAGTCTATAGAAAAGGATACGAATTACGAGATAATTCAGTATCCAGTTTTTCGCATTAATGCTGGAAACAATTTATTCATTCATATAGTCGTTTATTCTATAGGTACACTCATTTTATACAACATTATATCCGTACAACTTCGATTCAATATCGAACAATTGGCAAGGCACATAGTATCAATGAAGAAAATGTAAAAAGGCAAGAGTAGATCTCAACATCCTCGGACGAGGGTGAAAGCAATGGCACAAGTAGTAATCCTATCTCTATCAGTGTAACAGATTATTCGAATCAAATATTGGAGGCGAATAGGAGTCATTTATTGCATGTTTTCGATTTGAAATCTCATCGGGTTGTAACCAGATCGAGGCGAGGTGAGAGAAGTCTGTCCGAATACAGACTCTAAGAAATTATCCTAGTACTGTTCAAGGAAATCCAGGCAAAGACGAAGCTCTACGCGAACCTCGCGAAGTTCCATCGGGATCTGAAATGTCCACATATAGACATTAGAGGCAGTGTTTTGGGAAATTGGTATCCTTGGGTTTCACTTGCGGATTTTGATTGGGAAGCATTAATTAAGCTGTTGCCTTAGTGGCTCCTCAAATTATATTCTTCATAGCTAAATATGCAGCTCCGAAATTTCGCCCACTACCGTAGTAACGTTTCAGATTACGGTAATGGGCAAGAGTAGAGAAGTGAATTTCTCGCATACAAATGATTCCTATGAGCTGTCGTTTGGGCAATGGCGTAGGTAAAAACTTTCCAAACAGATCCCGAATGGAAAGAATAGGTAGCAGGTTAGCCTGGATCTTCATTTATGAAGAACCAGTGCGTCACCTCTGCTTCGCAGAGGCCCGCACTGGCTCCACTATCTAGGCCCTACTCATTCTCGCATAATGATGGCATTGAAACTCACCGAGCAATGCCGACTATCACGAACAAAATGTAAACAACTACTCATTCCGAAAGCTTTTTATGTGAAATCGGTGATTTCGCATGGACGAGACTTTTTGCAGGAGAACAAACGCAATTTTTTACAGGTTTTGATTTTCCCATGGACTTGACAGTTGCAATAAGAACGGCAGTCACCGTGTGCTAGGCCTTTGTGCAAAAATCTCGTTAAATGCTCCGGTAAAACAATGGCAAATTGACCATTTATGCAACCAATACTTTTTGGCGCCGTTTCTCTGAAGTAATACACTTTTGATCATTTTTTGGGTCTATGTTCATGGTTTGCACTTTTACTTGGCATAAACATCCACTACTTGGCGAAAAGTGGAATTATGGACCCAATTATGCGGCCCAAATGCAAAGTGGATCCGTTTGACGCGCAGTTTCTGGGGGATCCACTCAACGAATCTGCTCGTGCTTTTGCATGTTGGACTTTCATGCGGGTAGCATGCGCTGTGCAAAATTTGAGCCCAGGAGGTTGGCTGGAACACCCTCTACGAATTTCGTAACAGACACACTCTCACACAGGCACACAAAGTCACGTAAACATCCTTAGCCCATTATTATAAGTTATGATAACACTACCTACCAATCATACTAGCAGCAATGAATGATTCTCGTCGTTCTTTCATTCGGGAATAGCATCGTTGATATTGCAAACATCGTACTACCAGATAAATACAGTAGAACACTGCTACGGTTATAAATAACATAGCGAATACTAGCATGACTAAACGCACTGCCACACTTGGCTCGCCGTCATTTTCTTCCTGTAAAACTTTAGATAATTTACTTGAAGATAAGATTTTGCAAAAATCACTTTGAATTTGCCTATCGTGGAAGAGAATGGCAAGAATTCAAATTTAACCTTTGGTTCTGGCTTAGCTGGAAGGCGGGGCTTTGTGGCCTAATTAAGGCTGCTCGCGCCCGCGATGTAGTCTGCGTCTCTATCGCGCGCGTGCTCTCTGATCATTATCTAGCCTTAACTAGGTGACGAAGCCTCGCCTTCCAGCCGCCAAGCCAGTTGAATCAAAGGGTACACTTGATCAAAATGCTCTTACGATATTTAGATACCATTGTAAAACTCATACCGGCTCTTTTGTTGGTTTTTCCTTTTCCCATCTGGGAGCGGCTGGCTCTGGAGCAACAACAGTTGATACACCAAATACCTAAAATCAAATAATAAGACAGGGCAAATAACCGGAAAGGAATTACGATGCTAGAAATAAATTCTCAGAAACGCTGACCTGTACAAAAATGATGAGTACGACCCGCGCCACCAACGTTGGATACATAAGACTTGTATCGTGTCTTTGGATTCCAGCTATAAGCAGCGATGACGTCAAAGCCATCAGTAACATCATTGCAATGAGGCATATTTGGAAGTAGGAAGGGCTCTGGAAAAAAATGTGGTTACATGCCAAAACCAATTTTTTGCTATCAAAACGTTCAATTACTAGAAGTCCCCTTGGAGGTGCTGGAGCAAGTCGGAATTTTCAAAAGTAGAATTACAACAATTCAAATATATTGTATTAATAGTTTGTTCCTACAAATGACGATCATTGCATAGAATTTCATAAAAACTAATATTTTTGGAACGGGCGTGGTTTGCTAAAAAAGGCGTGCCTAAGGCTAAAAAGGGCGTGTCTGCTTGCTAAAATTTTTTGTACCATTTGGTTAGATCAAGTCGTCGAGCTTTAATAGGAATCTTATTAATAACTTTTGTAATTTCACAGGCTACTATTTTAACCCTCCCTCCCTCCCCTCCTTCCTTCCCGCACCCCCTTATGACTTCGATATGACAAAGAGAATTCGTCTTTTAACCGTTTGACGATCCAGTTTTTTAAGATAATTATTGATGTTGTTATTTATATCGCCATCAATATTTTTTGATGAATTTTACAAGTTTTTGCCCCCCCCCTTCGCGTCACCCCCCCCAGGGCATTTCATTGCTTACTAATCATCTAGCTCCTAATGTAAATTTCAACATCGTTGCTAATTCATACATACATCGTTATTCTTATCAGTACATACACTTTTTTGTTGGAATCTCCAGAAACTTTTGTTTTTTTCAACGATCTTGCCATAAATCTTGCAGTAAGTTTTGCAAAATCTGCAAAATTTTCTTCCTAGAGAAACAAGAAAAACTGCTATGGTTTGAACAGCTGTTCACTCTGCAAACAGTCCCATTCTTCCAGAAAGAATGTCACATTATCGTCCAGTTAGGAAAAAGTGACATTGTGAATGATTGCTAGCATAACTTCACATGAGCTTGCACATGATTCTTTTGCAGTAACAAGCATGTGCAGAGAGATACTTACATAACTGTGATTGAAAATACGGTGCTAAGCTTAGAAGAACATGTTTTCAATGTTGGAGGTCAGCTGGTACGAATAAGGAACAGAGAAGAACACCCGCAAATGTTCTGAATATTTTGAAACTGCTGAAAAGAAGTTATGTTGATCTTTATGGCTTAAAATATGCACTGAGGCCTCGAATTTGACTAATGACCCTTTTTGGGGTGTAGGACGTTTCGCACGACCGTAATGCTTTCCACACAGGACCACCGCCGCGCGCGACACACCCTGCGGCGGCTTTTGCCTGAGCAAAACAGTGGGAGGAAAGATTTGCGGCGTGCATTACATGTTAAGACAAGTCAAAATCAGGGAGACGCTGGAGACCGTCCGTGCGAAAAGACCGTCTCCCCCCTTTTTGTGCAAAATACACTGTTGATAGCTTCTTGTTAAGTGACTTTTTTGGCTGACTTATCGGTATCATGAGTCAAGATTGTACTAACTTTTTGCAAAAGAAAAAAGTCGTTAAAACTCATTTCGTGACTGTACTTCATGGTATGAACCTCAAAGAGATTTTTGAGCCATTGAGAGCCTTTCAACTTAGAAAAAGCTGTAAATGATTTGAATCTTTGTTGTTTAGGCAAAGCAGAGCAACCGTTCTGATGATAAGATTCGCAATCAGGTCTCGGCTAAAGCTGGCACCAGGGATTTTTCAAACAAAACCCCTTTGATCCTGAACTCTAAACGTAAAAGACCCTGAAAAAACGAAACGTCGATTAAGAGAAGCGTTGCATTTTTTGTGTCTTTCCGGCCACAAAAACGATATCCCCTTTGCTTTTGTCCCAAAAACTATCCAGCTTGATCCGATGGTTTCTCCTTCTCTCACAAAAGTTAAGGTGGATTTACTTTAGCTGATTTTTTGACGTTTCTGAGAACTTGCTCATTAAACCCAAACAATTTTACAAAAACCAGTCGACTACAAATTAGCGTGTGCGTGAATAAAAGTTTTCGAGTTCCTAAAGATTCTTTGGTGATGGCCGTGAACTTCTTGTGAAATTTGGGGACGGAAAATCTCCACCATTATCCTGTGATAACAAAAAGCTTTCAGTGATTTGTTCCAAACCGTAACGCAAACTTGAGTTAGAACTGATTTACAAATTGGTTCAAAAAATGTTTGAATTATGGTGAAAAGATCATTAACAATGAAACACTGTTTGAATTATTTTGGGATACACAGGTTTTCGTAAATGCTTGGTGGAATTTTTCATATTTTCAAGTCATTCTTGCAGTGTTTCTCCGGAAATCACAGTGATTGTTCATTCCTTCGAAAGACCAGTTAAAGGTTCTATTTTCTATTTTATTTTTATTTCCTATTTTATTCTACTTTAAAAAAATCGAATCATTGATCTGATTACAAAAAATTCAAAAAAAAAAGTTTGCTTGAAAGATAAAAAGTTTGAATAGCAAGCATTAGCCGAAATTCGTTGGCAACTTCGCACTTTTTTTAGCAAGCTTATAACACTGTGATTTTGAGAAGTATGGGACGTGAGGTAAGCCAGACAATTTTTGTTCATTCCAAAGAAATTCCGTTTATTTACTAATGGACGCAAGCTACTCGTATGATTTTACATGACTTTACATTATTTGAAAAATAAATGCGGGAGGGCGGGGGGGGTTCCTTCCTTACTGGTAGTTAGTGTATGAATATAGTACGGTAGCATCCAGTTTCTCCTTAGCAGGATTTAGCGAAGGGCATGAAGAGCTTCGGTAGGTTTTAATAGTAGCTAATTCATTGAAACTATTTGCTCTCCTTTTTTTACCCATGCTTGACCCTCTCTCTCACAAAAATGTTTCAATGACTAGTCTAATTTCGAAAATTGATTTTTTACTTAATCCGTTGGTCTTTTAAAACTTGTGACCATATTTTTTGATTCTTCATGGTACAGGTCAGATTCTGAATGTTATACTTAAACTATTCCTGAGAAACCCATTTGTACAAGAAAAGGTGTTCGGTAACTTGATCCACTGTTGTAAGTCTCAAATTTGCAAGGGGCGCCGAGTTGTTAAAAATAACTCGGTGTGCACTTTTTGCCCCGCCTCTTTTTGTGACACTTCGCCTTAATCATATTTGCAATGGACGTTTTTAGAACCCTTGGAAACCTCCTGGGAATGCGCAGTGACACTGGCAGCTGTCACGAGCCCGTATTGAAGATGCTGTAATTCGAAAATATCTGATTGAAAAACATGACGGACGAGAGAGGGAACAGCCGCGGGGGCCACATGACGTGTCGAACGACGAGTTGTCCGAAGAATGAATTTCGTAAAGTACATATGTATGTCCAGTGGTTCTGTATAAATAGCGGGCAAGTCAGTGGGGTGAGGCACTGCGAAAACTAACAACTTGGCTCATGTTACATTTAATCTTCGCTGTTCATCTACAGACAACTCGTCCACGTCGGCCGCAGGTCCCTAGAAGGCGCCTTTCATCGTCTGCGTGAGTTCTTTTCTATCTTATAATTTTGTTCCAGGCGCACTTCCAATCAAAAATTTCAACTAATATTCTCCAAATAATGAAAAGTGATTTGTTGAGCGAGAACTGAGAAAAGAAACAAGAAAATTTTCTTTGCCATCCCAACGTGTGACAAACTACTACACTCATTTAAAAGCAGTGTCCAGGCAAATTTGGGTGTCTGGGTTTCTTCAGAGGAAGATGATGAGGAGGACCAAGCCATCCTCCAAGTGGCAACTTTTAGGATTCATTCATGGCCGAGTAATTTGAGTTTGAACTCCTGCCCATACCGTACTCCATACCGTACTCGAGGACGCTCACTGGTCCGCTAGGAGACACTGTCAACTGGGATTAATTAATTATGCCATTGTCCAGACAGCAACTCATACGATTCATTCGTAACAGAGACATTTAGCTTCAAACTCCTGCCCATACCGTACTTTCTATATTCAGACCAAGGTCGTAAAAGAACGAGCGGCTTTTTCAAAGTTAGGTGCATAAATTTGCCCAAACACTGCGTTTAACTGTATTTAACAGTAAATGCAACTACTTGTTACTGTCAATTATTGCTTATTGCATCATTATACGCGCCAATTCAACATCAATCAATACATCAGTTTTCTTTCCAGGAACCCATTCTACGCGCTGAAACCACGCCCACAACAAGAGTATAAGCGGAAATAATGCCATCGAGCCAGAACTCAGCCACAAAACCAACATTCGCTTGCTTACTGTGATTAAGCCACATAGGATCTAATTTTACTAGTGGAATTTTGCAAATGACGTCATCGCCCGTGATGATGTCGCCATTCCCTTATGATGGCTTTATGGACTAACGCAACTGTGATAAAGATTGTAATATTATATTTGTAGGAACATGGCGGCTTAGTGACTTATTTTGAAACTATTTTTGACAGTGAGAAAGCAGCACTTGTTGTTTGAGATAATATTTGTGGATGAACTGGTGATGTTAAGATCTCGCATATGTGTGTCTGTTTATATGCAAAATCTTCAGCATTTGTTCATAGTTAATAAACATATATTTGGAGTATGGTAATTATATTTCTGAAAAATTGTAGTATATGTGACATTAATGGCAGATCCCCTTACCCGATTAATTTAATATTTCGAGACTAATTTACAAGAGCTGCAAAATGATGCAAGCAAGTCTTCATTTGAAAAATATCAAATTTAGTCTTGCTTTTTATAAAATCCAAACTATTCCAGTAGCAGAATGTTTTGGCAAGTCAAAGCCATGCCCCTTGAAATTCTTAAGGTTCATTTCAAAAAAGAAAGCTTAGCCACGCCCTTTTATCTAGATTGGAATTTCTACCTTTTCCTCTTTTTGATTTTTGAGATAGACCCTAAAATTCATGAACATCAACATTAGGGCTAGGCGAGAACTGGTCCCCAAACTTATGCCAGACATGCGTAGCTAAAAGTCTGATACAAAAGCTTTCCGTGTACCGCCTTTGCAAAACTCAAAAAGAGCTTGAGGAGGGGTGAAGAAATGGGGGAGGGGGGGGAGGGGTAGCGTACATCTATCATGTTTACAAATAATTTTTACTTACAGCGTAACCTACAAATGGAGAGGGGATTGGGATGAAGCTACAACAGAAGCAGCAGCCCACGCTCTTTTGAATATTGATCTATTGTGGGAAAAAAACCTTTAAGGGCAAGAAGTGAAAAGATAGATAAGAATTTGTTACAAGAAAGCCTATTGTTGTAATGCGCAATTATCGGGAATAGTCTTGTTGGCTTGAATTTATGTTTTCAGGAATAATTTCAGTGATGTAATGTGATGCGATGGCTTGCGACGACGGCAAAATCATGCTTTTTTACCATGATGAACTTCTTCTGTTCAGACATAATAAATATTTAGAATCAAATATAGTCACAAAAAATCGATTTCCAGCGCAAAGATTCAGAGTTGGAAAACCAATAAAATTTCCGTATCATCAAGTAGGCTCCGCCCACCAAGAATATACAGGCATACCTCAGTATCGGTCACTAAATGATGTGTGGTAAGTGCGGCTACGAGTGTTGCTATAGCAATTTCGGCAACGGCGAGAATTTGTAGGCCAGATGGCAGTGTACAGCAGCAGCAGGCCCATTTCTCGCTGTTTGGATCGAAATCCATTTTTCTGAAAATGGAAGAATCAATTGCGGATTGAAAAATGAAAAATAATGCGAAAATTGAGAGAAAAAATGATTTTCTGCAAATGAGAATTAAGTAGAAAAATTAATGAATTTTCTGTTTCAGGGTATAGATAAATATAGAAATTCAGGAATGTCCAGGATGACATACGGCTTCGCTTCAAAAATGGGTGCAAACGTCGAGGAAATCATCAAGGGCTTAATTTTGGAAAAAAGTATGAAATTCCTGTTTCAGAGCGAAGATATTTGTGGACTGGTTAGTTTCGATGAAGGTAGAATCCCAAAGAGAACAATTGATTTGCAACCACTGAGAAATTGGACTTGAAAAAGAAATTGTAAATTTTTGAAAGGCAGAGATAGAAAAAAGAATGTAGGATTTTCTGTAACCAACGCTATGAAAAAGAAAAATCAGTGAACTTCAAAAAAATAGGTTTTCAGCACGTATAAATTGAAGATAGAAATTCCTGTTTCAACATATAAAATGAGAAATTCAGGAAATGTTGGGATAGACGACGAGTCCTCAATTAATCAAAGGATAGGACTTGAAATCACACCTTTAGTCGATAAAAACAGATTAGATGAGTGAAAAAACGCAAAAACAAAGCGGTCCACCTTCCCCCACTACGACAGCTGCTGTTAGTGGCCAAAGATGAACAAAGTTTAGATCTTCGGGAAATATTTGACACATGCTTGGAGAGAATTATTCTTTGAAATGTCAAGTTTCCAGTGAGTTCAAAAATTCTTTTTTCATCGTAAGGCTAACATGTACTATTAATTACTTTATTTTATTTGTTGCTTATTTTTTAACTCACCAAGAGACCAAGGCTGTATGGCTTATGTGGTTCAATTTATTAAACAGAACTTCCTCCTCCTTTATGGTGACAACGCATCTAGCATAGGTCTTCCTCAAAATTACAAGGAAGTTTATATAATATTACGCCTTTTTTCGACAAGTTATTGACTCATAGCTTAACACACTTGAATATGACCGAAATCCACATATATCAGTTTCTATAAATTCTCTCGGAGTCCTTTTTTTTGACGTGTGTAATGACTAAAGAACATACGGAAAGGACTTTTGAGAGGAAAAGCAGAGGAAGTGAAAGGAGAGGGAGGAAGGAGAGGCAGATTTTCAAAGTGGTCCTATGACTTGTTAGCATATTCAAGTGTTTACATGCTGCGCATGGAGAAGCTGAAATCAAGTTTTTTTGGAACCAAAAATTTGGTGGGAGAAAATAAAGGGGGACATGGGTAAGAAGAGGATGACATCGAGTTGTTCTTGCTCTTTCCCGATCTGTGTATGACTTATAAAACTGTGCGGTCAATTAGCTTTCTCTCTGTAAACAAGAAAATTTTTAGCATTTGTTGGGTTGATCATGAAAAAATTCCTTGATCTTAGCAATACATCCCTTTCTTTGGATTTTAAACTCATAACATTGTCAAAATGTCTAAGACAATTTAAAAACGTTTTTGAAGTATTAGGCTAATCCTGACTGCTTCACGTTGAAATTTCTTCCTTACTCCCTCTTCTGCAAAAATTTCTGCTAACGGAAATAATTTGTACCTATAGCTTCCGATAATTTATTTTGTCATGAGTGTTGTTATTTGCAACGCATGTAAATCTACTAGAATTTTTCTTGTACAAATTATAAAATTCTAAAGAGGACCCGTCTGATAATATCTAACAATTTTTTTAATTCCACACAAATTTATAGATTGGTATAGATTTATAGATATTTATAGGAGACGGTCGAAAAGTGCGCTGATTTTTTTTGCTTTCAGTGAATTAATAAAAACGATTTCAGTGAAGTGCCGCCGAGTTTTGGAGTTTTTAAAAACTGCTAGACGATATGAAATGATGTCTAGACATCTGATGACGATTCCCGACTGATTTAACGACTTGCACTGGCAACTGCAGTAATAATGACGAAACGGTTGAGAACCGATTTTAACAGTTTTTTGACTTCTACTTGCATTGTCTCCTTCGAAAACGAATTTTTTGTGGAAGGCACTTGCCGCAAAGAACATCAAGTGGCATACTAGGTGGGATCTCATCCTAGCAGTCTGGGCTCAACTTAATTCACAAACGCAAATAGAACTCAAGAGCCTTGGCGCTAAAATTTCACTTGTAGATTTATGCTCCATCCGTTCTCTTGGTCTCATTTTTTATGTTCAGTCAAGCTTATGCGTGAGTTACATAATGTACTTTTAAGTGAACGAAAATGAGCATCGATGAGCACATGACAGCTCTGGTATCCATCATGTTCATATGATGTATTATTCAGAACTTGCACCAGTTGTTGGCCAACAATCGCGAAATTTCTGAGGTATGCATCATTTGCGTTTTGATTTTGGTTCTTAACGCATTCCGGTGATCTTGTACTGCGACCAGAGCTAAGATGGGGAAAATAGAGCGAAGTTATGGGTATCGGGTACATTTGCACGTATGGAGGACGTTTCGCAGGCTCCGCCCACGCAATATGTGCGCCTAATGTGTAGCGATATATGATTTGTGATAGATATCCGCAGGATTGCTTTGCCATCAGCATGGACTACACGGTGTTTTGCTACGGGACTCAAAAAAGAATAATAATTTCCTATACAGGCTGTCCAAATTTTTTTCGGGGGAAGGGGGGGGGGGGGGAGATGACTTGCTCAAATGAAGGGGCAAAGCATTAGCACACCTCTGAAAATTCATTGGCGTGCTTTCCAAGTTTCTGCGGGTATAACCCCAAAATTTTCAGAAGGGCTCGTAAGAGATTATTTTGAAGAATTTGAACCTTAAAAATTCAAGAAATTTAGTTATTTTCGAGTGAAGAAAGTCATTTGCAATTTTATATTTAGGTAGGCTTTTCTATAAACTTCACATCCCATTCCCTCAGTCCCCTCTCTTCGTCCCCCCCCCTCCTAAGTTCGCCCCTGCTCTCGATATATGATTGAATGATCAACTTATACATCATATCCTCGCCACTAAATCCCCAAAAAAGGCTGGAAGAAAAATAGGAAATAAACATGAAGAGAAAACGCCGTGGGTGAAGCTTTTCAATCGCAGAAAGCTTCAAAATGAGCTACCATTTTTTTGTTGCTATCCTGATATTTACACAAGTGAGCAGAGATCGCTTGCAAAAAGAAAAGCATCTATCAACGCACGTTAATGGGATAAAAAAGCGAACGGCGAACAAACGAACACTAAATGTAGCCGCAGATGTTCAAATGTCTCATCTAGCAAAAAGGTGACTATAAACTTAGCACATTTTGAACTTTTAGACTTCTAGTTGACCAGAGTAATAGCAAGGTCAAGAATTTCTTCTTAAATTATATTGGGCCTTCCTTTTCCTTCACCTCTTTACTTCCACTAGGTAGATGCAAACCAAGAATGTAAAATCTTATTCTCTTTCCTTGAGAACTGCAACTCTTGTAGATCGAGCAGTTAAGACAGGGTTCATACTGAGCCGCACAGCGGCACAGTTCCAGCACAGCGCTCGAACTGTGCTCGAACTGTGCCCGAACTGTGCTGCATGCGCAGTTGGATTATTTTCACCGTTTTTGACGGATTTTCTTCTAGGTTTCGCTTATTTCGGGCCTTATTCCTCTACCCCGCTTTTCCTTTTGATGAGTAGAACTCCGAGCGCAAAGCGGGGTTGAGGAATAAGCGCTGTTTTGCTTTGTGTGTCCGATTATGCGTGTTGTTCCGCTCGTTCATGTCTCTTCGTTTTATCCTTGCATAAAAGTATTCCATTTTTTTCTAGGGGGCCGCTGCAATATTTTCGCATGCATTTTTCTTGAAGGAGAGCAAAAATAATGCAGAAGAGCAGGAAAGTCCATCAATCTGTTGGCCACTATTAAGCTCCTAGCCCCTTTTCGTTCTCATTTCATTGTTTTTTCGTTCTTTGTTACCCCGCTTCCCATTTTGTTGTGTAGCGCCTCGAACTTGAAGCGGGGTAAACCAACGAAAGCGGTTGTGCTCCATGTATCCTCTCAGCCGCGTTCTTTTTCCATTTCATTGCTTTTTCGCTCTTTCTTCTACCCCCGCTTCAAGTTCGAAGCGCTACACAACAATAAGGGAAGCGGGGTAAAACAAAAAACGAAAAAACAATGAAATGAAAACGAAAAAGGGCTAGGAGCTTGATAGTGGCCAACAGATTGATGGAATTTCCTGCTCTTCTGCACTATTTTTGCTCTTCTTCAAGGAAAATGCCTGCGAAATTATTGCAGCGGCCTCCTGGAAAAAAATGGAATACTTTTATGCAAGGATAAAACGAAGAGACATGAACGAGCGGAACAACACGCATAATCGGACACACAAAGCAAAACTGCGCTTATTCCTCAACCCCGCTTTGCGCTCGGAGTTCTACTCATTAAAAGGAAAAGCGGGGTGGAGGAATAAGGCCCGAAATGAGCGAAAATAGAAGAAAACCGTCAGAAACGGTCAAAATACTCCAACTGCGCTATCCGGAAGCGTTGGACTGCAGATAAAAATTTCATTCAACTGGCTCGGCGGCTGGAAGAAAACTTCGTGACCTGAATGCCGGTGGCGCCCGCTACGCAGTCTGCGTCTCTCTCTCGCACGTGCTCTCTGATCATTACCTAGCCTTAATTGGGTCACGAAGCCCCGCCTTCCAGCCACCAAGCCAGTCTAATCAAAGGGTAACTGTGTCCAAATTCTTCTTCTGAATGGGAAACGTTTCATTCTTGACTTTTCAAACGCTGTAAGCGAATGCAGTATTCAACTTCATAGCACAAAAAACTTGTGAAAAATGATTTTTTTATGAACTTGAAGATTTACCAGGCACTGTGTGACCATGGTGCGTCTAGTAAAAAGAGCTTTTGTGAGAAAATTATGGACGAGCAAGTTTTGTCTTCGACATTAAGTGCACAGTTCCTATAAATAATTTATCTGAATAGTGATTAGATGACAAAGTTGTAGACGATCCCTACTACATAAGACTGGTCTTTGGAAAATCTTAGAATTATATTTGATTCTACTTGTCTGTAGGAACTAATAATAAGACGAAGTTGTAAGAGACTGCTGTGTAACAAAGCTGGAATCCTAATAAATTGTTTTTACTGAGCTGCAACTTGCAGCATTTTGCAAAGGAAAAAGAAGTTTTTCGAAAAAAAAATGTCCTTGAGCTGTACGAAGAGGCAAAGAAAAAGAATTATGAGCTTACGATGAGATTTACGCAGCGATAATGCGATTAGGTGTGCGTAAAGTAATGATGAAAATGAGCAGTGGAGAAAAATAGCCAAGATTGCCACTGCATGAGGGTTTCTGCGAATTTCTGCGTGAAGTAAGAAGAATGTCTTAGCAAGCAGAGCTTTTCTCTAAAATTGTATTAGCTGTTTTTGTGAAAAACGAAGTGTAGGTTGCTAGAGAAGAGAAAAGAACTTTCACTCTGAAGAAATCTTTCGTATCTACTGATCGTTTGGCAACTAGGAGAACTTTCCTTAGAAAGAATTAACAACAACAACAACAACAACAACTTATCTACTGAACGGTGGACAACTAATCTATACAACAAAATATTAGATAACTGATTAATAACCTATTAATCTCATGCTCAGTCAGATAAAGTTAAGCAGCAAAGTGTGAAGCTTGTACTGGAGATAAGGTGAAGGGGTTATATAATAGTAAATATTAGGTTGTTACATAAGTTTTGTTACACTCGACTGAAAAAATCCTCAAAACTTTTCCAAATGATTTTCCCTTACCTCCAAATTATGCGTGGTGTTGCAAATTTTTGATATGTACATGTCACACGTAAAAAATCAAATTTTAGAATTTTTTGAAATTTTTTCGAATTATTCTTGGCAGATTTCCAACTTTACTCGTTGACGAGCTTAGACTTTCAGACTGCTTCAGTATTA